TGGGCATGTGCCCTAGATGGGAATTGAACCTGGGACCCTTCAGTCCACAGGCGTGACGCTCCATCCACTGAGCCAAACCAACCAGGGCTGCTGTATATTTTGTATTATAAACTCAGTGATACCACGTTATAATTATACCTTTATTCACTCTTATATCTTTTAAAGAATGAGAAAATATACTTTTTTATTAACTCACATATTTATCATTTCTGATATTATTTATTTCCATGGATTTGAGTTACCATCTTAATTTTCTTTCACATAAAGGACTTCCTCTAGTATTTGTTGTAAGACAGGTCTGCTAGCAATGAATTCTCCCATTCTTTATTTGGAAATGTGTGATTTTTTCCCCACTTTCACTCTTGAGGGGCATTTTTGGATATAGAATCTCTGGTTTTTAAACACATTGATTATGTCATTCTATTGCCTCCTGGACTCCATTGCTTGAGATGAGAAGTCACATGTTAATTGTATTGATGGTCCCTGTACTGATGAGTTTGTTTTGTTTTGTTTTTTTATTTCAGAAAGGAAGGGAGAAGGAGAGATAGAAACATCAATGATGTGAGAGAATCATTGGTCGGCTGCCTCCTCCACAACCCGGGCATGTGCTCTTGACCTGAATCAAACCTGGGACCCTTCAGCCCACAGGCCAGTGCTCTATCCACTGAGCCAAGCTGGCTAGGGCCTAATGAGTTATTTTTCTCTTGCTTTCAAATTTTCTCTGGAGTTTGTTGAGCATCTTGGATATATAGATTAATGGTTTTCATCAAATTTGGGGAGGTGTTTTTTTCCCAAAAATTATTATTATTTTTTTTAAATATATTTTATTGATTTTTTACAGAGAGGAAGGGAGAGGGATAGAGAGTTAGAAACATCAATGAGAGAAACATCGATCAGCCGCCTCCCGCACATCCCCCACTGGGGATGTGCCCACAACCCAGGCACATGCCCCTGACCGGAATCGAACCCGGGACCCTTCAGTCCGCAGGCCGACGCTCTATCCACTGAGCCAAACCGGTTTCGGCCAAAAATTATTTTTGAAATATTTTTCTGTCCCTTTCTCTCCTCTCCTTTTTGGACTCCCATTACATATATGCTGATGTACTTGATGTTGTCCTACATTTGTCTGAGGTTCTTTTCCATTTTCTTCAATCTCTTCTCACTTTTTCAAATTAAATAATTGCTATTAACCTATCGTCAAGTTCTTATTCTTTCTTCTGCCATCTTGAATCTGCTTCTGAGCCTTTCTAGTGAACTTTTCATTTGTTATTGTATGTTTCAACCTCAGGATTTCACTTGATTCTTTTTATAATCTCTATTTAGTATTTTGGTTACTTTTAAAAAATCTTGTGTTTAGTTTTAAGCTCAGCTTTCTAGGGGGTTGCCCTGCGTCTACATAGGTTAGTGGTCAGCCATTAAACTGGACAGAAACACTTAAACCAGTCAGATTTTTACCCTCTCCTGATGGATCTGTGTGTAGATAGAGTGAATTCAGTGTTTAGGCTGTCTTCAAGTCCCTCCTGGCTTTTACTTTTTGCTGAGCCCCTATTAATTTTCTCTGCACATGCATGCAGCCCGAGCGTTGGCCAGGAGTGTGTGAATAGCTTGGACCCTCTGGTCTCTTCTGTGCATGTGCGCAGCCCGATTAGGCAGAATGTGCTTGCTGCAATCGTGATTGCGACGCCAGGCTCACAGAGCCGGCGGTCCTCCGTGCTCCCCTAGCACAGAGGCCATTACTTCCCTTGTACTGATGAAGTGTTTGGACATGGGTATAACCCACACTCCAGAGTGAGTGAGCTCCTCATCGACCGCAGCAACCTGCCGGTCCTCATGTTTTGTTTTGCTTTGGCAGAACCCCCACAGGACTGAGCTGGGAAAGTAAGGGGAATGGAAGCAGCCCCAGGCAAGAACACCAGTTTCCCACGGCTCCTACCCAAAGTTCAGTTTTTCAAACGTAAACACATCTCAGATTGTTGTGGTTTTGGCCAGTTTCCAGAGCAGCAAAATTGTTTTGTCAGTCCCGTCCCATCCTCCCCCCCAGCATAATAGTTGCTTTTTTGAGGTGAGGATTTGCTGAGCACCTTACTTGGCTACAGCTAAAGTGCTACCCAGCCCTAGCCGGTTTGGCTCAGTGGATAGAGCATCTGCCTATGGACTGAAGGGTCCTGGGTTTGATTCCGGTCAAGGGCACATGTCCAGGTTGTGGGCTGGATCCCCAGTGGGGAGCATGCAGGAAGCAGCCAATCAATGATTCTCATCATTGATGATTCTATCTCTCCCTCTCCCTTCCTCTCTGAAATCAATAAAACTATATTTTAAAGTGCTACCCAAAGCATCTGATACTTATGATTGAAGTAATTGGATTGGAGAAGTTGGAACTTAGAGGGAGAAGATAAATACCTTGATTGGAAAAGGATTGCATTCCTGTCAAAACTGTTCAAATAGCCCCTTGTAAACTAGTGATCCAATTGTTTAAAATGGTTATGATTGATAATGGGACATGGATGGGTATATGTTGTGCTTCCTTCCTGTCTTCTGATAGTCCTGTATTTTTTCATGTTCTACTTTTCACAAACTATCCATTTATTTATTCATTGACACTTTCTTTAGTCAGCTGAGGTTTGACTGACATTGATCACCAAACAGTTGCAACAGTTCAACCTCTACATCATGCCATCTTAGTCTTTACAGCAATGTTTGTGCAATTATTTAATATTATATCTTTCTTGTTGACAAAATGAGTAGAAATCAGAATAATCAAAATCCTACAGCTAATGATAAGAGCTTACTGTCCTTTGAATTTGAAACAGGATTCCACAGATCACTGAGCTGACTCAATGATTCCCTCACCTGTGAAGGGTCAGAACTCAGAACAATAAAGCGCTAATGTGGTTATGGGTAGGGGTGTGTGGTAAGGAAGGCTTGGACTCCTGGGGCCTTGGAGGGGCGTGTATGTGGCAGTTTAGTGGATACTTGCATTTTCAATAAGGCTTTCGTGCTGTAGTTACATGATGTTTTTCATGTCAAATACCATGTTAGTTCTCACCGCTTCATATGAGCGAAGTGTCCAGTTGTTAGATTGTAAAATTGTTTCTTGCTGACACCTTCAACGATTTCATCATAAAATACAATTATGCTCACATGCCATACTCAACATGTCTCATAACTATGTAGTGTCTTTCCTCAGGCACATTAAAGTTCTCTTTTATGTGTGTGTTTCACGAAAAAGAATAGACTGGTTGCCACCACAAAAGATTAATTTCTCTAAAATTTTACTTTCATCAGACTTATGGCTTGATAATCAAACTTTGCTTCTTTATCGGCTTTCATAAACACAATTAAAATACCAGTAACTTCTTTCAGATGCTCTAAAGTTGAATATCCTTATTTGGGCTACTCTAGGCTAGGCTTATGGTAAAAACAATTCTATTTTCAGAACAGAGAAAAACAAAGTACTTTGCCTTGCAAGTGAGAAAACAGAGGCCACGTGAAATTAGATTGTTTGCCCATGTAGTAGATGCCAGAAGCAAAGTTAGTATTAGTTCAGGGCTTCCAGCCGTGTCAGTGCAATTCTACATCAAATTGCTATTGGTCTTTTCTCTCCCAGAGATGGTGATATCCCTGAGGGAACATACTACATGTTAGACATCACCTCCTACTTCCCTTAAAAGACAGTAGAGAACTGTGTGCAAATAGGTACTCAGAAAATCTATGCTGAAGTGCACTAAAAAATAAACACTCTCTTTGGTTTACTGTGGTTGCTAAGAAAGGGGACGTATGGGAGGCTCAATAGGCTGCCAGTTAGGTAGCTTTCCTCTAGGAAGATGCTGGGGTCGTATTGGAGAGCATAGTAGAACCCAGAACACACCATAGACTTGGTCCATGTTCGATTTGAAGGTAAGTGAAGAAACTCTGAAGTCTTTGAAAGTGCAGGGCTTTTTATTTTTATTTATTAAACTTTTTTTATTATTTCAGAGGAAGGGAGAGGGGAGAAAGAGATAGAAACATCAATAATGATAGAAATCATTGATTGGCTGCCTCCTGCATGCCCCACACCAAGGATCAAGCCCACAACCCGGGCATATGCCCTGATGGGGAATCGAACTCTGACCTGGTTTGTAGGACGACACTCAACCACTGAGCCACATCGGCTGGGCAGTGTAGAGCTTTTTAAAATTTCAACTAATTGTTAGTATTTAAAAGGTACATTTCTTTAAAAACCATCAGCCCCAATCCATCACAGATGATTCAACTCTTCAGGAAAAGAGGGAGCCTCAGCCTCATATAACACTTGTTCCAGGTGCCATGTGCGGCCCTCAGGTAAGGCCCTCCTCACATGGACATAGCTCCTGACTCTGTGCTTCCTTTCTTCCATACGGTGGCTGGGCTTTCTCAGTTAACTTCAAAGGCAGAGAATCAAAATTACAGGTTCTTTACTGTACTTTAAGTCACACCACTTCTAAGGCAGGGAGACAGTTAATCACACAGGATAATGCTTTTTATAAAAGTGAATCTGGGAAGCAAGGCTGGCTCTAAGAGATAAGGGTCAGACCCCGCTTTGCCCATGAGCGGTGGAATGCTCTGGCAGAGAGAAGAGGAGCAAAGAAGGGGACTTGGATTCACATGACTGACCTCAAGTCCTGGCTAACATTGTTCCTGGCTGTGGGCCTTCAGGTGGTTCATTTAGCTTCTTTAAGCCTCAGCTCCCTCACTTGTCAATCTCTACTCAGGGCAGAGAGGTCCATCTGCCAGCATGTTGAGCGAACTAATGTGACCTCTGAGAACTCCAAAGTGATGCTCAAGGGCAAGGTGGTTTGAGGTAGAGGAGAAAGAAAAAGAAAAGGAATGAGTGTCGGCTCAAAGAAGGGGGGGGTGAAAAGTAGAAAAGAAAGGCAGGGGGGAGAGATGGAGCCAACAGCATGGGGTCTGGGCTGGGGTTAGGGCTTGGGTGATGCTTGGTGGTTGGGTTCTCTTAACTACACAGAGAATAGAGCTGATTATTAGAGCCAGTCACTGGAAAGGAGATCAGTATTCAGAGTGGTTGTCATGGCAGCTTCCATTTGTATGATTTTAATTCATGGGATCACTTTTAAAGCCTCTGATCTTCATCTCATCTCTGAATAGGAGACAGGCTGCTGAAGGGCTCCCAGCCTGGCCCTGGAGCAGGTCATGTCTTCACATTTCCTTAGGCCACAGAAAACCTGAACCAAGTGGTGTGGTCATACTCCTCACCAGGCCGCAGCAGCACAGGCGGGAAGTGGGGCTGTGGAGGGAAAACACAGGTTACACCTTGCCAGCCCAGGCTGCAGCCTTACCCAGTCCATATGGCAATATAAGACTGTTTACGGTTGTCTGGCCGGCGTGGCTCAGTGGCTGAGCGTCGACCTAAGAACCAGGAGGTCACAGTTCAATTTCTGGTCAAAGCACATGCCTAGGTTGTGGGCTTGATCCCCTGGGTGGGGCGGGCAGGAGGCAGCTGATCGATGATTATCATTGATGTTTCTATCTCTTTCTCCCTCTCCCTTTCTCTCTGAAATCAATTAAATATATATATATATATATTCAATAAAAAACATACTTAAAAAAAAAAGAATTATTTATTATTGGTTTCCCATGAAATAAAGAATTTGAGCCAAGCCCTAACCCGTTTGGCTCAGTGGATAGAGTGTCGGCCTGTGGACTCAAGGGTCCCAGGTTCGATTCCCGTCAAGGGCATGTACCTTGGTTGCGGGCACATACCCAGTAGGGAGTGTGCAGGAGGCAGCTGATTGATGTTTCTCTCTCATCGATGTTTCTAACTCTCTATCCCTCTCCCTTCCTCTCTGTAAAAAAAATCAATAAAATATATTAAAAAAAAAAAAAAGAATTTGAGCCAGAATGAAAATCAACTACATCACTAAGCACACTTTGTAGTAGCAAGACTTTCTTGAAGGAAGCAGTGTGTGGCTTTATACTCTGGTGCAAGCTACTTGCGTCTTATCATAGGCAGGCGCTTTGCAGAGCATTCATTACTCCAGGAAATAGCTAGAAAAAGTTATGAGGAAGCAAATAGGAAGAGAAGACATGAAGGACTGCCTTAAAAGTGTGGTTGTAGAAAATGAGTAGGTATTGATGAGAAACAATCACCTGAATAAAGGCTTTGAAGGTACAAAATAAGAGATATTTTAAAAAACATGTAAATGCCATGCTAGTAATTTGACTGTTTCCTGTGTTTATCATGACTTGGAGAAGAGAACACACATGGACTTGTGACTCACACAGACCTGAGTCATGACCTCTGTCCTACAGTGTGACCTTGGACACACCACCCCTCTAACAGGCCCGCCTGTAGCTTTACCTGATTGACTGCATCGGGCCAGTTCTGGGTCTCGAGGCAGAAACCAGAGTGCTTGGGATAGACTGCTCCACTCTTGCCCTTCAGGGTGCCATCCAGGAAGTTGCCCGTGTAAAACTGGACCCCGGGCTGGGTGGTGTGCACTTCCAGGACCCGCCCGCTTCCAGCATGATGGACCCTGGGGATAAAGCCACATATAAGGACAGGCAGAAGCTGGGAAGGCAGCTTTGAAACAGGGATCGGACCCCGTCACAGAGCCTGGACAAGATATATGGAGGAGACAGGGAGGAACAGCATCATGGGAAATTCTCACAGCCTCCGAGGTGAGGCCTTAGCAGGTGGTTTTGAGGATCCTCCAGAGCAACTTTTCACTCTGATTTTGGTTTCTCTGGGGAAGGACAAAACAGACTCACCCCAGCCAGGTGTGTGTGTGTGTGTGTGTGTGTGTGTGTGTGTGTGTGTGTGTGTGTGTGTGAGGTGTGTGTGTGTTGGGGGCAGCCAGATTGGAGAGAGGCAATTTTAGGGTTTTAGGGTCCTGGAGGGGCTGGGATTCTTTCTCATAAAGAGCTGGAGCGAAACAACCAGCTGTTTTTTTGAAAGACACACTTTCCTCCCTGGGACCAGAGCGGGCTGTGCTCTTTAGTCAGCTCTCCCCCACAACATCTGCTGGGGTTTCTGCAACGTCACTGTTTTCTTTTGTTTCCAAACCAGGCCTCTACAGAGGTCTCTGTCAAGAAAGCCTGGGCCTCACAGTCTTTCTGAGAAGAAAACATCCCCCCATGTGTAGTCAACCAGGAAGGCAAAGGGAAAGCGTTTGGGGAAGAGGCGGTTTGGAGAGAAGGCAGCGTCTCCTCAGGTGAGGGCAGGGCAGGAGGAGCGAGTAGTGGGCCCCGAGGAGAAAAGCAGGCTTGAGCTGAAAGAACACAGCCGGGACCTGGGGCTGGGACTCTGTGGGAAAGCAGGCTTTTTAAGTTCTCTTTCTTCTTAGAGTTTGGATCATTTTCTCATATTGAAAATCATTCTACAAACACTCAGGGTCATTTGCTAGTGGCAAGCATGGCATTAGGCAGAGGCAGGGATTTGCAAAGCTGAGGTGGCAGACAGGGCTGGGGTTAGTGAGGAGGGTGTGTGCACACTGCCTATGGGGCTGACGAGAAGTGCGGCCTCCAGCCTTGCATGGGCGTGGGCAGAGCAAAACCACAAGTCAAGGGAGCACAGAGGGCTCTGGGAGTTCAGGGAAGGCAGAAGGGGCTTCAGTCAGGAGGAATTAGGGCTTCTAAGAAAAACTGGGCCTTAAAGAACAGGCAGAGCTGGAAAGTGGGAGCAGAGAGAGAGGGGAAGCCGGGCAGGGATGATGGCATGTGGGAGGGGGGAGGGGGCGAGAAAATTCTGCAGAGCTCACCTTTGGAATATAAGCTTTGAAAAGACATGGGATGTGGTATTTGGTCCCTGTAGTGTAGTAAATGGCATTGATGTGGCCAGAGGGAAAGCTCCCCAAATAGGGGTTGCTATCTCCTCTTCCCTGCAGCGGCAGGAAGTGGAAAGTACCTACCGCGCACAAAAGTGCTTTTCCTTCGAGCCCTTCAGACAGAAATTGTGGTCAAAGCCACCGACGTGGAAGTCCTGCAGGTGTTTCCCAAGCGCCACTGGCTTCCTCAGGTCAAATGCGGTTCCTTGCACTGGAGCAACTTCTCCTGGTGGGAAGAGGCAGGGAAAGGGGGGATAAGTGCCCAAATCAAATCTTCATGCCCGGTGTCCTAAAGGCCCACAGGTCCCACCCTCTCTGCCTTCGTTTTGATTTGTAAAGGAGATGAGAGTCCAGATCCTACAAAGGAGAATGAATTATTCGATTTTTTAAAAAATTGTAAGATGCTACTGATTGCAAAGGCAGTGGTCATAACATTCAGAATCATTCACATGTGAAAGAAATAAAAATCATGAGGAGATGCATAATTTCCATTATGGGCTCAGTTGGATAAGGGGTGATGGTTGTCCTAACCATGGCGTCAATCACTTTGTTGGCATTTCTCACTTTAGTGCTGAACTATCCCAGGGCTCATCACCAAGCATTAGCTCCTGGAGTGGCTAACCAGACACCCACAATGTCCCTGAGAGGAGGGATTCGCAACCCATGTGGGGCCATTATTGGCCAAAAGACACTGGCAACCCCCTTCCCAATCACTTCCCTGTAGACACACTCTAAGCTGAAGCGGGGCTGTTAATAATAACACAGGGACAAATGAGTTCACTGGGACAGTCCAGGGCAAGGACGCATGGCCACTCTACTATTTGCCAATTTTAGAGTCAATCTGAAGGCAAGCTTTGTGTCTCCAGGCGTGGTTCCTGGAGGAGTTATAGTCCGCAAGCGCTGTGTGTGTAAGCCAGGCTCCTCAAGCTCTAAGAGCAGTACATCTGTGCTTATCTTGAAGTGGGACATCTTGAAGCCTCTTCACAATGATGTGGGTGGGGACTCAGTTCTGAGGTGGGGACACTGCAGTGTGGGGCCCCTCAACTCTTAAAGGGCAAAACACAGAAGGAGCATGGACAGGAGCCCTGCCGTGGTGGTCACCACAACCAGTGCCCCGTCAAGAACATCCCTCTGGTGTTACAGAACTGAAGGGTGTTGGACCCGAAGGGTTTCTCAGAGCTCACCTGGTCCAAACTGCTCATGTAACATGAGGAACCACCCACATAACCTGACATTATCAAACAGCCACCTATGATACTGACACACTGCATTTCATTAATTTAAGACACTCGTTTTCACAGTTTAAAACCTCTGAAATCATGTTATGGTTTAACTGGCAGGTTTTCCTTTCTTCATGGGATGTGAAATAATGAACTTTACAATTGATGGCATCTTAGAGTGGATAAAACATGTAAAAAAAATGAACAAGTAATCAGGGATTTGAGGGCAAAAACGAGAAATTAGGATTATTTCACGAGTGATTTCAAGTAGAGGTTAAAGGGACATTGTTCTGAAAACAGCGCCATTTTGCTCTATCACCTTTCAGTCCCTTCCTAACGCGAATGGCCCAGCGGTAAGAGAGAAGACAGGCAGTGGGGTGGGCGTAGGGGTGGCGGACTGGGAGATTTCATGGAATAAATGACAAGGGTTGAGCAGAAGCTTGAGCTGAGATCATATTAGGTTGAATGGGTGAGGGAGGTTGAAGATGTGGAGGAAACAGCTTGAATACAGGTGATAGGGAGTTTCCATGATATAGAATTATAATATTATGTGTATTATAATATTTCCATGTATGTATACAATATATATGTATATATTTACATTATATATAATATACTTATATTATTTTGTTATTTTCTATATATTCCTAGTTTTGGAGTTTGATTTCCTTTTTTTTTTCCCCTGCAAAAAACTTTATTGTTTACATTGGTTCAATACCTGGGAGTGGTCTTCAGGGTGGTTAAAAAAATGTCTAGGGGTTTCGGGGAGAGGCTCAGGCAAAAACCAGACACCTAGGAAATGCAGAGGGGCCCTTCACAGGCCTCTGGGCTCCACAAGCTCCTAGTGGTGCCTGAGGGTGAGCCTGTAGAAGAGATACCCTCCCAGCCCAGCCTGGGGGCCAGCAGCCTGTGGAGGTGAGTCAGGTGTTGCCTGTCTTCCTGATGAGTTTCACCTCCTCACCCAGGAAGTGGTTCTGCAGGAAGTCACAGAGCTGAGGGTCTGTGGGTAGAACCAGGGCCTGCAGCTCCAGGAGGGCCTGGTTCAGGCTCCTCTCCAAGGCCAGGGCGGCTTCCATACACCCTGAGTTTTGCCCACTCATCTTGGGGAGGCTTCAGCAGGACCTGGGAGAGAATGCGGCCACCGCACTGGTTTTGCATCTTTAAGAGACGCTCAGCGCCCTCACGCTTCTTCGCTGCAAATTCTCGGAGACCCACGCCCTCCAGAGCCACATCGTCCTGGTTGAATAGAAGCCAGAGAGAGGTAGGTGTGGGAGGCCGGCAGGGGCAGGTTGGCCAGGCGGGTGACCGCAGCCTCCACCTCAGTGGAATCATTCTGACGAATTTGGGAGCTCATGGTTGTTGGGCAATTAAGGAGTTAAGGTAGAAAAAGAAACCAGTGTGTTGGCTGGTCTCAGAGGTGGTTCCAAAGGTGGTGACTGGATAAGACACTGGAGGGTGGTCGGAGGCTGGAAGAAGGGGCGTCCCTGGGTCTGTTCTGTCCACACAGTTGAAGCAAGAGACAGATCTGGGAGCGCCGAGGGCACTGGCTGATTTCCTTTTTGATCCAGGAATTATTAAGAGTTAAAACATTTCTAGGTCAATATTGGCTGTATTACTTATGTTTTGTGACTGCCTCAGGTTTCCTTTACGGGCTTAGATATGCTCATTTTTGTGAGAACCTTCATTGTGAGTTGCATCCTTTATCATTACAAGATGTCCTCTTTTATGTAAGTTGATGCTCTCTCTCCTGAAACCAGCCTTTACTGGTAAGAGGGAGACCCTGCTACTTCGGCCTTCAGGTGTTTGGTGTGCTCCTGAGGTCTCATATTCCAACCTTCCTGAATCACTCGGTTTGTACACGGCCTTCCGCTGGGTTTTGCTTTGGGAGTCCATCTCTGAGACTGTGTTTAACGCGGGCATTCCACAGCATTAACATGACACATACGTGTTCTAAGTGTTCTTCGTTCTATCCTTATATTTTGTGGCATGCTTTCTGTGTTTATGAATTCTAGTTATTACTTAAAAAAATCTTTTACATATGATCGGTTTGTGTGTGTTTCTGATCAGTTAGAAGGTGTGTATTTTTGTTTTACATCTATCTATAAGTAACTTCAATGTAATATACTTAATGTTGTTTCTTAGACTCTGCCTAGCGACTCCTTCCTCCCCCTTCCCCTTCTCCTCTTTGCCCAGTAGGGTTTCTGACGTTTCAACTTTAAGTATTCTTACCAAGGGCGCTTTTCTTTCCCAGCAGATGGTGCTAGAGACACGATAGAAAGAGCTTTGTTTATAAAATAAACATCGACCTCATTTGAGTTCAGATTCAGCCCTCTAACCCCTGATCTGTTCTGGGAGAATGAATAGTTGAACTTTTTGGATCTGTAAGGCCAAAGGCCAAATCTTGGCAGTGACCGCCCCCAGCTCCAGGTGCTATTGTTCTGTGAAGTCTGGGTGACCAACCATCTCCCAAAGTGACTTTAAAAAAAGGCAACTGTTTCCTTATGAACCAATTAGACTGGGAAAAAGAAGCAGCTGTTCTCATGGGCTCAGCAGATTTTAAGGTTACCCATCCATATGCTAAATGGAAACTTATGTTATGCTTTCTTCCCTTATATGGTGTTCACAATATTTAGTTCTTCCCTAAAGCTATACTTGTCTCAAAATCTAACCCTATGACAGTCCTAGACAGTAATTTGTCTAGGTCAGTCAAGATTACTTACTTCTCTTGACTTGGAAAAAAGAAAGTCGTGCAGTTTTCATGACATAAGGACCCAAGGGCGAATTTCCAGTCTGTTTGCCTGATCTTGAGCAATCTACAAATCAGTATTTATTTTACTTTCCTCTCTGTAAAACAAAGCTGCTATTATTTGCAGCCTTACACGTTACATGGATATATTCGACCATGTAATGGCAAAGAAGCCCTGATTTTAAAAATGAGAAACTTGGGATAATTCTAAAGTGAGGTTTTGCTAAAATGAAAAGAAAACATGAAAAAAAAGGTTCCAATCTGTCTTTTCCAGCCTCATGCCCTCATACACCCCCTCATGTGCCTACTTGTTGGGCACATAGAAAATTTGGAATTTGTTCCCAGATTTACCCTGTCTTTGGGCCCTTTCTCATAACCGGAATGTCCGTTCTGTGCCCCCCACACCCACCACACTCTGGCACAGTCCACGGGATCATTTAAGAATATTCTTGCCCTAGCTGGTTTGGCTCAGTGGATAGAGCGTCAGTCTGTGGACTGAAGGGTCCCAGGTTCTATTCTGGCCAAGGGCACAGGCCAGGGTTGTGGGCTCGATCCTCCCCAGTAGGGGGCGTGCAGGAGGCAGCCAGTCAATGATTCTCTCTCATCATTGATGTTTCTTTCTATCCCTCTCCCTTCCTCTCTGAAATCAATAAAAATATATTTTAAAAAGGAATATTCTTCAATGCCATTTCTTCTGTGAAGTACTGCAACCTCCACAGTGAGAACTAAACCTCTTTTCCACTTTGTTCCCATCACACTTTAAACATATATTCCCCCAAACATTCATCACATTATGGCATATTTATAGGATTATGTCAAGCTATTTGTCTAAAACAGTGGTTCTCAACCTTCCTAATGCCGCGACCCTTTAATACAGTTCCTCATGTTGTGGTGACCCCCAATTTCATTGTTACAAATTGAACATAAAGCATAGTGATTAATCACAAAAACAATATGTAATTATATATGTGTTTTCCGATGGTCTTAGGCGACCCCTGTGAAAGGGTCGTTCGACCCCCAAATGGGTCGCGACCCACAGGTTGAGAACCGCTGGTCTAAAAGGAATGTGAGTTCCTAGAGCGCCAGGGTGGTGTCGTATTTATCTTTGTACCCTCCGGGTAAGAAGCAGACTCTGTCTGGACGGAAAAACTGATGATGACAATGAGAAAACGGGGGTAACTGTGAATGGTGTCGTATCCTGTGACAAAGTCAGAATGAAAGATCTAGAAAGAACCTTAGGAATGACCTCATCTAGTCCCT